CTGGGCAGGCCGGCAGGGTGGCATCCATGTGGCTCTGCAGCTCCTCGGTGTCGCTCGCCAGCAGGAGGGTGCCCGGGTCGAGCGTGAACCGTGTAGTGCGGCGCATTCGCGTAGCCTGCGCCGACGGGGCGGCGACCTGCGCAGAGAAGATCACCAGCCCGTGATTAGGAATGAGCGGGGGGAAGGCGACGCTCTCAAGCCTCAGCTCGATGCCGGCCCCCACGGCTCGCGTAGGAGAGGTCCCTGCTAGGGTCGCAGGCGTAGTTGCGGCACGCAGGACGGCGTGCGTCGGCAGCGCGTTGACGTAAGAGGGGCGCCAGTTCAGGTCGCCAGCGATGCACCGCGGCACCGGCGGAGTACCACGAGCCACGGTGGATGTGAAATTGACGACTTCCTCCATCCAGGGGTCGGAGCGCACTGCAGCGGGCCCATGCCCAGATGTAAAAACTCCCAGCTTGGTACGAATAGCAACTTCACGATGGGAAGCGGCTCGATGAACAGCAACACGCCCAAGAGAAGGGCGCCAGAAAATGGCAGTGCCGCCCTGCTGAACGGCACGCTTGGCGTTCCTGGGTGGAGGCGTGGAGCACACCACGCGCCAACCATACTTGAGCGCGAGCCTGGTGACCCACGCGGGCTTGGCGGAGGCTAGCCGGACCTCCTGAAGACATAAAACATGTGCGTGACGAAGTGCAGGAAACGTAAAGATCTCCTCCAAGCGGTCCGCCCGGAGGCTCGTGACGTTGAGGGTGGCAACCTGCAGCTCCGTCATCCCCTTCTCGCCCCCCCCGCCGTACAGGGGGTCTACGGCGGGTGGGCACCTTCAGCGAGCCGCGGCGGGCCGCTTCTTGGCGATCTTCGCCGTGCGGCGCTCCTGGCTCAGGCGCTTCTGGTCGGCGCGGTACCTCGCGAAGCGGATCTTGTCCTTCAGCCGCTTCGTCTTCCGCTGCTCGGGGTCGGCGTAGCGAATCTTGTAGAGCTCCTTCCGCCTGGTAGCGTAGGTCTTGGCAAACCGCTTGCGGCTTGCACTCTCCGCCTGGTGGGCCCTGTTGGCGGCCTCCTCCCCGCGCATCGCCGTGAGCATGGAGAGGCGCGTCATGGTGGCAGGCCGGGCCCTGCATGGGTAGTACCTGAACTGAGTCAGGTGGGTACTTTTGCTGCATGTAGAACATGTGTAGTGGTGCTGGATGCCCCCGCCCTTGAGGACCTTGGAGGACACCGTGCGCTCATCGGGGCTGCACACACCCGGCTGGACGCTCGCCGGCAAGGCCGCCTTCCATTTCAAGTGTGCTGCAAAAAGCTTCGCGCGGCGGGCCTCGCGAAAGGCAGGCCGGGCCCAGAAGCTTGCTTGAATGGCGCGGCGGCTGACGCTGCCGGGCTGGTCTTTCAGCCTGGGGGGGGCGGCACCCTGGCACTCCCGCCAGTGGACGGTGGCCTTGTTGTACTGCCAGGCTGAGGCTTGGCTCCCCGAGAGGTGGGCAGGGGGGGCGGGTGGCGCCCACTGGCCGCAGGGGCACTTGAGATAGTCGCCTTTGGCGTAGGCAACTGGCGTCTCATCGTCTGGGTCGTCGGCGGGGATGCCGAGGATGCTTCGGGCTCCCCTGGAGGAGGCAGCCGCGGGGCGGCGCGCAGGGGCACGGCTGGCGGCTGCCGTGCTTGGAGGGGCGGGAATGCCCAGGATGGACATGGCCTCGGGGTCGAGACGCGGCGCCGGCGCGCGGCTTGAGGCGGCCCTGCTGGATGGGGCCGGAATGCCCAGGATGGACGCGGCGTCGGGATCGAGCGAGCGGCCCTTTCCCTGCAGGCCGCTGGTCGGGTAGCCCAGGGCCTTCTCGCGCCAGCAGTCGAGGGTCTGGCGGTACTCGGTCGTCTCCTGCTGGTCCGGCTTCGGCTGGAGCCACTCGTAGTGGTGGTCCTCCAACTTCAACCACAGCTCTTTCTTCCGTAGTTTCCCTCCGCGCTCCCGGCCGTAGAGCACCCACTGCTCCGCGCCCGGTGCACGGGACCACACGTAGATGTCGACGTTCAGCCGCTTTGCGAGCAGCCGGACGGCCAGGGAGGAGGCAGGCGTTCCTGTAGTGCCGATCTTGTCGGCGTCCGCCGTGGTCGCCTTGAACGTCTTCTTGAGGGCCTCCTCCTGCGCAGCGAGGCGGAGATTGCCCTGGAGCCGGCCGCCGGGCTCGAAGTCGTCGGCGGTCGGGATGCTCTTGGACGGCGTGATGGCGGCCAGGCCCTTTGCGACGGCGATGTACATGCAGTCCCCACCGCCGCCACAGGCTCGGACATGGAAAAACTTCGTGAAAGGCGGGGCGGACGGGCCAGCCGGGACTGGCTTGCCGTTCTCGCCCTTGGCGTGCTTGTTCGGGGGCGCCGCCTCGTGCGGGGCGGCTCCAGCTTTGCGAGCTCCGCCCGCAGGGTCGCCGTCGGCGGCGGCGGCGGCGGCAGCGGCGCCCGAGGGGGCGTCCGCGGGGGCGGCGGCCCTCTCCTCGGCAGGCGGGGGGGCGACAGCGGCGTCGTACTGGGGCGAAGCCTTGGGAGCTCCCCAGCGTTGGCGGGCCTCCTTGCTGGTCGCCTGGCGGGCGGCCTTGGCGGGGGCGCCGTTCTTCGAGAAAGCCCGAGACACGACGGCTCCGGACTTGAAGGTGTGGACTGTGGCTACGACGCCCGCCGGCGTGTCCCCGAAGAAGGTCCACGCACGGGCGCCTGCTCTGGCTGCGTTGGCGACGTTCTGGAAGCCGCGCTCCGTGGCCCAGGTGGTGAATTCTTGGGCAGTGACCATGTGTGCGGGTGCATTCCGCACATGCCATTTGATGGCATCAGCCTCTCCAGGATGTACCCCAGCGGCGCCAGCGACTCCCAGTTGGGCTTTTCCGTGAGGGCGGTACAACATGTGGCCCTGCCGCTGCTGGGCAAGCTGGTAGACCCGGTCGTAGTACTTGCGGGTGCCTTCCTCGTCCTCCTCGTCGGCCCTCCGGGAGAGCCATCGCGGGGCGATGGGGGCGTCCTGCTGCATGATGAAGGCACCTCTCGGTGGGACTGCTGTCCGGAAATCGGCAGCGTTGGCCTCGGTCGTCGAGACGATGCATGTGACCTCCGCGTCGTAGGCGATGGCACCTCGGGTACGCAGCACGCGCTCCGCGAGGACGTCCCCGAGGACAAAGGCGGGGGTGGTCTGCGGCTCCGCAGAGGCGACGTGGAAGAGGGTCTCGTCGGCGAACTCCGCGGAGATCGTGATCCGAAAATTGACCAGCTTCAGCTTGGTGGCTGGGACGGGCTCGTCGTCCTTCATAGCCGCGTGGAGCCCAGCACACTTCGGCGCGGACTCGCTGAGGTAGGTGATGTTGGCCTTGGCGGAGCGGGGGCCGCGCTGGCCCTCGAGGAGGACCGAGTCGGGGCCGTTGCTGTCCAAGACGACGTAGGTGATGTTCTGGCGGTTCCCGAGGGCCTTCCTCGCGCGCTCGCACTGCTCGTACTCCGCGCGGGTGGCCGCCAGGATCACCATGGGCTCGGTGGACTGCTCCAGGGAGGCCCGGACCGCGCTGGAAGTGACGATCTTGGCCTGTCCCCAGGGGTCCTGAAAAAGACGCGCCCTGACCTGGGGCGGCTCTTTCTCTTGGGGAGCCTCGGGCGCGTCCCGCGCCGAGGGCGATGCTCCCGGAGTGAAGGTCGAGATGACCTCCCGAAGCTTGGAGATGACCTGGGTCTGCGTGACGTTCATGCCGCCGTCCACGACGGACAGCAGGGAGCGCAGCTTGGCGACGATCGGGATGTCCTCCCTCTGCCGCCTCTGACGCCTAGGGCGCGTGGTGGTGGGCTTTGAAGGCCGCGCCTCGGCACGGCCAGCCTTCGGCGTGGTGCGGGTGCCCATCTGAGCACGCTGCAGCTCAGCGACGGCCGTCGCGAGGGCGATGAGCTGGTCCTGAATCTGGGACTCGGCCCGGACCCGCTGCGAGGTCCTGCTGCCGCCTTTGCCGCCCCCTCCATAGAGCGGGTCCCAAGAGTCATTCGTGTCGAAATCCTCGTACCCGGCCGAGCCCATGGACGGGGAGAGGTTCGTGTCTAAGAACTCGAGCGAATCGAGCGTGAAACTGGACTCGTACTCGGTCAAAACAAAGGCCGACTGGTGCGTCGCCGGCTCCCCAGAGTAAGAATCGATGCATCCAAAACTGCGTAGGTTGAAACCCTCGTTCTCGTCAAGGCCCAGGGACGAGAGGAGGTCCCCCAAAATCTCGATCGGCTCGAGCGTGAAACTGAACTCGTACACGTTCGCATCGGCGGCCAAGCGGTACCCCGGACCCCACGGATAACACTCGAAAAGCTCGTCCGATGACATCCCCATAGAAGAAACAACGCCGTTCTCCCCCTCGATCGTCGCCACTCGGGCGCGTTTGCAGCATGGGGTCGGGTCGGCAGTACGTCGGCTGCTGGCCCGAACCCGTTCGCGGTGCCACCTGGCCCAGCGGAACCGGACCAAGGACACCCCCGCCACCGCCAAGACCACCGGGAAGTAGTCAGGGGGCCGCTGCGTGGTGGCAGTGTAGTGCTTGTGCTTGTTCTTGCATGCTGGCATTCTGCGAATTCTCTGGGCCCCCTGGGGCCGCCGACGGGGCTGAACGCCTGGCGCTTGCGGCGCGTTGCCGCCATCGTCATCGTCATCGTCGTCGGCGTCGTCGTCTCCGTCGTCGACGTTCGACGATCGAGGAAGAGGCTCGAGGTTCGACGATCGAGGTTTTTGGGGCTTCTCGTCGCCACGGCTGGGTCACCCACGAAATCAAGGCCAGAGCGCACCCGAGGAGAAGCCTGGGGGTCGTCGTCGCCGTCGCCGTCGTCGATATCGAAGTGGGAAAGGAGGAAGGCCAAGGATCTCACGCTTTGTTGTGTGTTTTGTGTATCTCTTTCGACCTCTGGCTGGCTTCCCGTCGCCACGCCCTGATTCCCGTCGAAATGCTTGTCAAGCCGCACCCCTGGAGAGGTCTGCGGGGGAGGGGCGCATTTTGAGGGAGGAGGAGGAGGGACGATAAGATATAAGACAGCGCCTCGAAGAGGGTTTCGCAAATTTGCATCGGAGTGAGAAGCACGAGAGGCATAACGACGATACAGATACGGATCAGATAAACACTTTTGAAGCAGTGCTAGAGCAGTGCTAATTGTCAGAATGTTGAACCAAACTCATCCAAGCTTCTGGCATCTTTTCCAACACGCTCGACATGTCCATGTTCAGCTGCTTCGACCGCTTGAACTCCCTCTCGAAATACTCGGCCTGCTGCTTCCATCTTTCCGCATCCGCCGTCAATTCGTCCGGGTCGTTCTCCCGCTGAATCTTTGTCAACCTGCTCACGGTAGATGAGAGGAAGTGCATTGATGGATCTTTCTAGCATCCAGGCCCTAAATCAATGCACCCTGACTGCTTCGGTTTGTGAGCGGCGGGCCCGCGACCAAGCCACACCGAATCGGCTGGCACATGGCCACGGCAAGGGACAGAATTTGCTTTGTATAGCTTGGCATTACTTGGTGGCACGGGCGAGGGTCAACCCATGCCATCTGGGTTGTTTCAAATCCGCCACCGTGCCGCTGGGCACGGAGTGGGCGTGTCCTCAGGCCCTTTGCCTAACCCTCTGAGCCTCACTCCTCACTCCTGGAGATGATTTAAAGGCCCTGGGCCCAAACTTGCCAAATCTACCGGGGCTTCTCGAGTCTTGTCGCGTGATTTTCGTTCGAAGCCAAGAGGGCCCCAAGACGGGCCAAGTGGGCCCCGAGAGGCCCTCAAGACAGTCCAAGAGGGCCCCGAGTAGCCGAAAGATCGTTCCAAGACGCCCAAGATGGCCTCAAGATGGCCCAAGAGTCTAAGAGGCCTCCGAGACGCCCCAAGAGGTCTCCAAGAGGCCTCCCAGGCCCCAAGAGCCAACCATCATTGTTGTCCCGTAAGTTTCGCTTTTCTGCTTTCTGACTCTCCAAGACGGCCCAAGAGGCCGCCAAAACCACCCCAAAACGGCCCAAGAGGCCTCCACGAGGACCTCAAGATGGCCTAAGAGCGCGACAAGACGGCCCAAGAGGCGCCCAAGACGGCCCAATTGGGCCCCAAGACGGCCCAAAAAGGGGCCCAAGAGTTGGAACACGAACCGAAGATCCGAGCCTTCCGCCCCAAGAGGCCCCCATGAGGCCCCAGAAGGCGCCCGAGAGGCCCCAAGGTGCTCCCAATCGGCCCCCCAGGAGGCCCCAAGAGGCTCTCAAGTGGCCCACAAGAGGCCCCTAAGAGGCTCCGAATCGGCCCCCAAGAGGCTTACAAACTGCCTCCAAGAGGTCCTCGAGAGGCCCCCCCCGACATCCCAACGAACACCCAATAGGTTTCACACCCACGACGTAGGTGCGGTGGCGGGATGGGCCGAAGGCCATTTGACCTGCTTGGCACGGGGACGGAAAGCGCACTTACTTTCAGAGCGCACGAGATCGCTGGCTCGTCCGCTCTTACACCTCTTATTGACTCCTTCCCCTCGCTCTTGTCCTATCTCAGCCTCGGAGAGTCGCGGAGCGTTCTTTGAGCGCGTTTCTTGTTTTGGAGGGGGCGGTCGGGTCGCGTTGCGTTTTCCGCGTTTGGGCTGCCAGCTGTCCAGAACCCCGCGTTTTCCTTGCGTGGACCGCTCGTTGTCCACGCGTTGCCGCCCGTCCCTGTGCCCTGGCGTCAAGAACTTATTACGCCGCAGCTCTCTGTTGGAAACTTTGGTCTTATCAGCTCGATTACGTCACCGCTCGCTCTTGGGAGCCGCAGTGCTAAGAGCCTTTGGGAGTATTTTGGGCCTCTTGGGGGGCTCTTGGGGAGCCCTTTGGGTGCCTCTTGGGGACCTTTTGGGGCTTTTCGGGGGCCTCTGGGGGCCTCCTGGGAGCTTCTGGGCTGTTGGGGTGAAGGGACTAAGCTGCCTTTGGCCGTCTTTGGGCTCTCTTGGGGGCCTCTTGGGGCCTTCTTGGGGCCGTCCTGGGGCCGTCTTGGGCCGTCTTGGCGCCTCTTGGGCCGTCTTGGCGCCCTCTTGGGCCGTTTTGGGGGCCTTCTTGGGGGTCTCTTGGGCCTTCTTGGGGCGCTCTTGGGGGCCTCTTGGACAGTCTTGGGCGCCTCCTGGCCCGTTTTTGGCGCCTTCTTGGCGCCCTCTTGGGCTATTTTGGGGGCCTCTTGGGAACATCTTGGGCCGTCTTGGGGGCCTCTTGGACCGTCTTCAACGCCATGAACAAGCGAAAAGCCGTATTAGCTAAACATGCACGTTTCCCTTGAGAAAATCAATGATGTTGGCCTCTTGGGGCCCTCTTGGGACGCCTCGTGGGCGCCTCCTGGGGCGTCGTGGAGGCCTCTTGGGACGTCTTGGGGCCGCCTTGGGCGGTCTTGGGCTCTCTTGGAGCGCTCTTGGGCCGTCTTGGGCGCTTCTTGGGCCGTCTTGGGCCGTCTTGGGCGCCGTCTTGGCCACTTCTTGGGCTGTCTTAGGCGCCTAAGACAGCCCAAGAAGCGCCCAAGAAGCGTTCTCCGATGATGTCTCGAGCGAAACGCTGTCTTTAAGCCCTGAAGGCCGTCCTACTCGATAAAAAACGAGGCGGGAGGGCAATTAGATCCGGGTCTGGCGATGCCACCCCCCTCGAACTCCCCCAAGTCTAATTTCTTCCGACTAACGGGCCGCACGCTAACGCGCGCTTTCCGTCATCCGCCGCCCCCTGTCGATTCATCGCAGGGGTGCCTGGCGTGCTAAACTATTTGGTTCTTTTTCCACAAGGACTCCCCCTGGGGCTTCGGCCCGTCCCGCCGGCCACCCGGAAGACCTGGTTGCAACCGGCTTTCCTGCCCCAGACGGCCCCAAGATGGCCCAAGATGGCTTCCAAGACGGCTAAGATGGTCCCATGATGCCTCCAAGACGGCCCAAGATGCACCCAAGACGGCCTAAGATGGCCTCAAGATGGCCAAAGACGGCCCAAGAGGCCCCCAAGAGGCCTCCCAGACGCTCCAAGAGGTCCTCCAGGAGGGCCAGAAGAGACCACAATCATTGATTGCCCATATGTTTTTGACAGATTTTGACATTCCGACGGCTGAAGACGGCCCAAGAGGCCCCCACGATCGCCCCAAGATCGCCCACGAGGCCTCCAAGATGGCCCCATGACGACCCAACAGGTCCCCAAAACGACCCCGAGAGGGCCACAAGACGGGCCAAGAGGCCTCCAAGACGCCCAAGATGGCCTCTAAGACGGCCCCGAAGCGCCCCAAGAGGGCCCCACGTCGGCCCAGAGCGGGCCCCAAGACGGCTCCCGACGGCGTCAGACGGGCCAGAAACCCACCAAGATGGCCGAAGTTGGCTCGAAGCTGGCCCAAGACGGCCCAAGAGGCCTTCAAGAGGGCACAAAGATCGCCCAAGAGGCCCAAGGGGCCCCCAAGACGGCCCCAAGAGGCCCTCAAGACGGCCCAGGAGGCCTTTAAGACGCCCAAGATGGCCTCCAAGACGGCCCTAGAGCATTCCAAAAAGACCCCCAGTCGGCCCAGAGAGACCCCCCAAACGGCTTCCGACGGCGTCAGACGGGCCAAGTGCCCCCAAAGATCGCCCAAGACGGCCCCAAGAGGCCCCCAAGACGGGCCCAAGAGGCCTCCAAAACGCTCAAGATGGCCTCCTAGACGGCCCAAGAGCCCTCCAAGACGTCCTCCAAGAAGGCCCGAAAAGTGTCAAAATTGCCTGCAGACGGCCAAGATGACCTTCAAGATGCCCACGTGTTCCCGAAGGCTTTCCAAACCGATTCGGGGAACACATGGTCCGATAGCTTGGCAGGTCTGGTCTCAACGTTCGGCCACATAGGCGCTTCCAAAACGGCAGGGGGCGGCGGTGATTCGCTGTAGGCGTCTTCGATCCGCCGCCCCCTGGCGATTCATCGCAGGGGTGCCTGGCGTGCTAGACCCTTTCGGTTTTGGTTCTGGGTAATTTTCCAAAAAAGAACTCCCCCGGGGCTCCAGCGCGTCCCGCCGGCCACCCGACAGGATCTTCCAGAGGTGGTTGCCGAGGGTTTTCCTGCTCCAGACGGCTCCAAGACGGCCCAAGATGGCCTCCATGATGCATCCAAGACGGCCAAGATGGCCTCCAAGGCGGCTCAGATGGCCCCAAGATACCTTCAAGACGAGCCAAGATGCACTCGAGACAGCCTCAGATGGCCCAAGACGGCCTAAGAGGCTTCCAAGAGGCCTCCAAGAGGCCTCCAAGACGGCCCAAGAGGCCTCCAAGAGGCCTCCAAGAGGTCCTCCAGGAAGGCCCGAAGAGGCCAAAATCATTGATTTTCCCTTGGTGTTTGAAGGACGGCCCCAGAGGCCCCCAAGATCGCCCCAAGATCGCCCAAGAGGTCTCCAAGATGGCCCCATGACGGCCCAAGAGGCCCCCAAGATGCCTCCAAGAGGGCCCTAAGACGGCCCAAGAGGCCTCCAAGAGGCCTCCAAGACGCCCAAGATGGCTTCCAAGACGGCTAAGATGGCCCCAGGATGCCTCCAAGACGGCCCAAGATACACCCAAGACGGCCTGAGATGGCCTCCAGATGGCCTAAGACGGCCCAAGAGGCCCCCAAGAGGCCTCCAAGACTGCCCAAGAGGCCTCCAAGAGGTCCTCCAGGAGGGCCCGAAATTGCCAAATCGTAGATGTTCTTTCGGTTGTTGAAGGGTTTTGGCATTTGTTTCTTTTCGGCATTCCGACGGCTCAAGACGGCCCAAGAGACCCCCAAGATCGCCCACGAGGCCTCCAAGATGGCCCCATGACGGTCCCAAGAGGCAAGACGGCCCCAAGAGGGCCCAAGAGGCCTCCAAGACGGCCAAAATTGCCTCCAAGACGACTGAGATGGCCCCTAAGATGCCTCCAAAACGGCCCAAGATGCACCCAAGACGGGCTAAGATGGCCTCAAGATGGCCTCAAGACCGCCCCCTTAAGAGGCCTTCCAGACGGCCCAAGAGGCCTCCAAGAGTTCCTCCAGGAAGGCCCAAAGAGGCCAACATCATTGATTTTGCCTTAGGTGTTTGAAAGATGTTGGCATTTGCGCCTTGTCGGCCTTCCGACGGCCCAAGAGGTCCCCAAGAGGCCTCCAAGATGGCCGCATCACGGCCCAAGAGGCCCCCAAGACGGCGACCTCCAAGACGTCCAAGATACTCGGGTCGGGAACGCCCTAAGGCATCCAAAGAGGCCCCCAAGAAGCCTCCAAAGGCCCCCAAGAAGCACCCAAGAGGCCCAGGGAGGCTCCCAAGAGGCCTCCAAACGGCCCCCAGGAAGCTCCGCAGAGGCCTCCCAAGAGGCCTCGCAAGACGGATACCAAGAAGTCTCCTCCTCCTACTCCTCCTCAT